GTCTTCTGGCCCACGAACCCGGCTGTTTCCCCTCTTCCTCTGCCCTTCCCGTCTCCCAGCGAGGCGCTGTGGGCCTCGGCGTGCAGGTCTCACCCTTCCGTCAACTCTATTCCTGTGCGCATTTCGGTGGCGGTGCAAAAGGAATTGTATTCTTAATTCCAGATCTGAATTGTTTATTGAGAATACAAGTGCAGGGCGGCTAGCTTTGCGTAATGCTTCTTTTATTTCGTTCCCGGTAATCGTACGCGGCCTGTGTCATGGCCTGAGAGGAGTCACTTCTCTTGTTTCCAGGCTGTGCCTTTCATTTCCTGCTCTTGCCTTTTCCTCTGGGCAGAATCTCTAATTCAGCGTTGAACAGAAAAGGTAAGAGCACTGAGGTTTCAAACTTAAAAAGAGTTCAGCATTCTGAGACTCGAGCCCCAAGCTTTGCGTGAGGGAGCGAAAGCCGTGGTCACCGAGTGGCGGGAGGACCGAACGAAGACCACGCAGAGAGTGCGCGTCGGCCACTGCGAAAGCAGGAGGCCTCCTGAAGGGTCTGGGGAGGAATCTCTGCTGTCTGGGTCAGGCCCGGGACAGCGGCCTGGGCGGGGGGCAGCTCTGCGGGGCTCGTCCTCAGGACGAGTCAGCTCAGCCCAGGGGGATCTGGTGCTGCCCGAGCTTGGCCAGAGCCGTGGGCGTCAAGGGCCCCGGGCCGGACGCCTGTGGAAACAGCGAGGCCGGCTCGTCACGGGGCGGGGACGGCTCCAGGCCCGCTGGTGCTGAGGTCCAGCTGCTGCCGGGACACGAGGGTGAGCGGGGTCAGGAGGGGTCCTCGGGCTGCACGTTCTCCCAAGACCGAGAGAGTCTACTGTTTCCAGGTGCTGCGCTGCCTCCGTTCTTGAAGGTTTGCGTGTCCCAGCGGCTGGCCCGTCGCATCTGCGGATGGGCTTTAAGTTCACAGGAGGTGGGAGACAGGCGAGCCAAGTCCCCGGCAGGCACGGTGTCCCCTCAGCTGTGTGGGGACAGAGCCGTCCCCTCTGGGGCAGCAGTGGCCCCACTGCAGGTTCCCCGGGGGACGGGGAGTGGCATGAAGGTGGCCAGGGGAGGCTGGGCCGTTCCCTGCAGAAGCTGACCTGGGGGAAGCCACTGTGCTCCCCACACTGTCCTCACCACTGCTTTGAGAAGAATTTCTGGTCCATGGAAAGCAACCTCAAGAGCTGACGCATGTGCCTGGTGAGCCGTGCGATGGTCAGCCAAGGGTCAGAGTCTGACCGGGAAAGGCAGGTGTTCTCAGCAGCAGGATGTCATGAGTTGCGCGCTGGGCTGGAGGGTCCTCAGCAGCAAATCGTGGCTCCCCAGGGTGGGGGTCACCAAGGCACAGAGGTGGACTCTCTAAGGAACAGGTGCAACAGGGGGGTGGCGCGCCTCAGAGCCGCTAGCGGTGGTCACACGCACAGAGGGGCCGCTGTGCACACAGCAGTGACGAGGCCCTGGGGTGCCAGTGCCCCAGCTGTGCCATCTGCATCTGTCGGTCACTGCAGCAAGAGGTAGTCCTCAGTGGCGCAGACTCTGTGCTGAGTGATGGAATCTAGAAAAAGATCGAGAAGCTGGTTAGTGTCTGAGCGTCTGGCTAGTCGCACAGGGAAATCGTCATCTTCGGTGAAGCACAGAGTCACAGCTCAGACTCTGCACCCGGAGCTGCCTCCCCAGGTGCCAGCACGGCCCCAGCACACGTCCTCCGGGCTGGGGCATTCGCACCCCCGCTGTGTAGCTAGCCGGCATGTGACCCCTAGGCCCTGGGGTTGTCCTGGACAGGCCCCCTGGTGTGAGCAGCATGTGGGTGGACGCATGACCAGGCCTGTGTGGCCACAGCCTCCCAGGGCCTCGCTAACCCAGCAGAGTATCTTATACAGGGTCACTCGGGAAACACGTGTGGGACACCCCGGTCTTCCTCTTTCGGTGGCAGGAGAGAAGCTGGGCTCTTGGGCACTAAAGTCCTGTCAGTTTGAAGCCCATTTTAGGAACATGACCAGCAGCTGACAGAGCCTGGCTCAGGAGCTGCTGCAGGCGACTGGCCAGCCAGAGCCCTGGCTGCTGGCATGACTGCAGGCTGGCCTCCCCGAGGCCAGGGGCCAGGGAGGGCAGGGATGCTTGGTGCTGGCCCTGGGACCCGGCCAGTGGGCTGATGCACCCAGAGGACTGTAAGGAGCCACGGTGGTGCTGGTGGGAGGGCGCAAGGTGGCTCCGGGGCTTGCAGCTCTCCCCGCTGCACACTCTTCCTCCAGGGAGGCCTGAGGGCTGACCTGGCTGCTGACCTTGAGGAGGGAGGAGCAAGGGCGCGTGCTGGGGACGCTGTGGTTCAGGGTATATCCGTGATGGGACGGCAGCAGCACGGCCGCACCGTGCACACCCTGGCATGCTCTCCGCAGCGGGCAGGCGCGTCGAGCTCCATGTGACATCAGCCCTTGAAGGGTTTCCTTGCCACACACTGCTGATCCTGTTACGCAAGCATTTGCTTGCAAAAGTTTTGACTTTTAGTTTACGGATTCTATCAATTTCTTCTTTATTTTGGATTTTGGACCATAGGTAGGAAAGATGTTCCCCACTCTGGGTATAAAGAAGGTGGGCCATGTTTCATTCTTCCTGGCTGTAAGAGCTCTGTGGATTCAAGTTTCACACTGGGGTTTTTGCAGGATGTCATTTCTGTAAGTCAGGAAAGATCGACAAAGGGTGCTGGTCTGCCCTAATTAATTAATCCAAAAATTAATCGACCCCCCAATTAATCCAAATTAATTAATTAATTCCCTAATTAATCCGAAAATTCAATATAATCCCCCAATTCAGCATAATCCTAAAATTTATTTTTAAAGACATCCATGCTTATTTTGAAGTCTTGTGCCTGCGAGGAAAAAGGCATGGGAAGACAATTTTGAAAAAAGGGAATAATGAGAGAAAATGTGGCCGAGGAGACCCCAGAACATACTGCAGAACTACAGCAGCAAACAGGAGGTAGACGACACAGAACAGAAAGGTAAACGGATGGCAGAGAACAGAGTCCAGAACCCACCACGTGTGCACGGGAACTCAAGAACTGACTCAAGGCAGCAAGAGAAAATTGCTGGAGAAGAGATGAGTTACTGCATAAATGATATGATCTGCCCCTCACACAATCAGATGGACTCAGGCAGCAGACACTGGACGACTCTGGGCATGTCACCAGCGCAGAGGAAAAGACCCCGTGGGATGTGCAGGTGCAGGGGAGCCCTTCTGAGCAAGACCTGGATGCAGGTGCCGTGGACGGTGTCGGGGGCAGGAGCCCCAGGGACAGCAGGTCCACAGCGGGAGCCTCGGTTCTGGGGTGACACACTTAACTGCTCCATGAGCAACGCTGACAAAGAACTGGCGTTGCACATACTCCAGACCCCAGAACACTCCTCAGTCGTAGCTCGAGGCACCGAGCGTCCCCTAAAGCCCCATAGAGCCTAGGGTACTGCAGCGAGCCAGGAGGAGGCCTCTGTTCTGCCCTGCATGGCACCCACCTGGCTCAGCGTCACCTGCAGAGCTCGGCCCCAGCGCTGGGCCCCCCTTGGGGCTGGTGTGGGCACGGCCCGCCCGCTGCAGCCCCTGCCCAGGTGTGCAGCAGAGTCTTCTATTCCCGGCCGCCTCCTCCATGCTGCATGAGCCTCCACCCCACAGCCCCACCCAGCGACCCGGCTCCAAGGACATCAACTTCACAGGGGTCAGCACATCACGAGGATGACGCCCGTGATGCCATCGAGGCAGATCCCTTTCCATGCCCGTGCTGACACGCCGTCCTAGCAGTTAGCCGCTGATTGAAAACAGAACAGAGCGCCGCGGCTGCACATGCTCCAGCAGATGCTGAAAAGACACAATCCCACACATCACGATCCCACACATCACTCGCTCCTGCCCGGCAGGGTTCACCTGTCTGAGAGCAGGAAACAGGCCATTCTCAGCACAGCCTCCCGCCACCTCCCAGCCACAGCGCTGGTGGGTCAGGAGAGGGCCCAGGGCCTGCCCGCCCAGCTCCGCCTCCGCCGCCCTCAGCACGCGGCCTCAGGGCGGGATCCCACCTACCCATGGTGAAACTGGGCCGGAAGGCCCTGAAGATCCCTCCATGACGCAGGCGCTCTGCCGGGACCGAGGCCGCCTCTGGCCTTGCTTCCCCAAGCGCCACGTTCCAGCCCTGCATGGTAACAGGCCGCCCAGGCGTTGGCCCCGGTCAGCCATCGGGTCTGTGCTGCCTGCGCTGGCAGCAGCCTCTGTTCTGCTACGTCAGGGCTTTCGGAGTCGCAAGGTGACGGCTCAAGCGTCTCTCTTGGCAGCGCTGCTGGGTGATTACATTGCGTTCCCACAACAGCGTCCACACGTGTCTTATCGCTTGGACGTGGCTGGGACAACCAGAGGCCGGGCGCCGTGGGAAGGGCCGCGCCGCAGGGGACCACGGGATAACACGGCCCGCCCTGGCATCAGGCGCCCGCGCCGGCCAGGCCCGGGGTTGCCTGCGCCTCCGGGAGCAGTGTGGGGGCGCTAGCTCAAGGGGGGCGATTCCTGGAAACTGCTTTCAAACACAATACGTGGGGCCGGCACCAGGTAAAGGTAACGCTCGGCTTCCTGGAATTTGGTTTTTGTTTTCCTGTTATTTTCACACACGTTCTGACGCCACAAAGTTTCTTTTGAAAACCCCCATTTCTCCTTTAGGTTGAGTGATTCATCAAGAATCTTGGCCTCCGTCTGCTGCTGTTTCAGGGAAAGCCGACTCTGGGGAGTGGACGCGGAGTCACCACCAAGGCCAACAGCCCCGCCCCGGGCAGCACCTGGCTGGCGTGGCCTCCTGAGGCTCAGGGCAGCTGGAGTGAAACCCAGCAGCCTGGGGGGGCCCCAGGGCACCCCCGAGGCAGAGCTAGAGGTTAGAGGAAACTGATGAACTCAACCACCGGGTAAGAGGTTGCTGTCCGGGCGGGTCGCTGTCTCCTGTGCCGACGGTGGGGACGGGCTGACCTCGGATCACAAGTGGGTGGCAGAGCCCTGGGGACCTTTCCTGCGGGTGCTGCCCACTGCCTCTGCCAGGAAGGGCCACCTCTCTGTCGTGAAAGCCTCCTGCTTGCCCATCCCCACGAGCGACGCTTCTGCAGAAACAAGAGCCCGTGGAAGCAGCAGTGAGCGCGGGGGAGCCGGCCCGGGCGGCGCCGGGAGGTGTCCCAACCTGCACCGGTGGTGGCGGCGGGGCCAGGACTGTTGTCTGAACAACACGACCCACCCCGGGCCCTGAGACCTGGGCCTCCGCGGCAGCCGCGTTGGAACAAACTCAACTGAAACACTGGGGTGTCACCAAAGTATAAAGCTGGTGCTTTCGCGGGGTTCACTTAAAAGCAGTTTTATCCCTAATGTTAATTTCACAGCATTTTGAGAATAAACGGCTCTTGGGACACGCTTATGCTGGGGTGGGGGGCTGGGGTGGCGCGCTGGCCCAAGGATGAGCTGGAGGCAGCGCCGGGCCGGGAGGGTGGCGGGGTGGCCGCGCACATGTGCAGGGACAGAGCCACCCCGGCACCCAGCTCGGCGGAGGACGCCAGCCCGGTCGGCGTTGGAAAAGCGCCCGCTCAGACGGCCCAGCGCGGTGTCAGGGCAGTCGTCAGGCGAGGACTCACCGCCTGAGGGCCGAGGATTCCGGAGCACACAATTCCCGGATGCTGCCAAGGGCACACGGTCGGCTGACCAGTGACAGACCAGGAACAGGACGTGGGGTACGGGCGGGGAAGGACGGACGGGTCCGCGGCCCGCGGCACACCGACTGCGAGAGGCCGTGGGCGGAAACGGGGTCGGGCAGGTAGGGGCCCCCAGGCCACCGGTGGGGGGGGGGCAGCGCCACCCGAGACAGGAAGGGGGCCCTGGGCAGACGCCGCCGGACCAGGCCCGGACACGGCCCACGGGCTGGCAGGACTGGTTCTGTGGACACGGGCACAGCCCCGGCTGGACCGGCCTTTTTCCAAACAACAACCCTGGTCCCTGGGCCCGTCATTTCCATCCACACTTTTCTAAAGAACAAGCAGGACCCTGCTTCCAGCACGGGGTGTTCTGCAGGCTGCGCTCGTGGCATGCCGGAGAGCACAGAGGCCTCTTGGCTGCAGTTAAAATCGGTTTCTTTCCTTTTTTTTCTTTTGAAATTATTTTCCAGGCAAAACATAAATTATTGTGTACCAGATAGCAAAATAATTACTTTTCCTTGCTGTACTTAAAAAGTATATTAAAGGCTGACCACCAATCACTCATAAGACTCGCGCAGCCACGCGTGAGCGTAACTTGGACAGAGCGGCTTTGCTTATCTGCTGGGCCGAAGTGGAGCAGGGGTGAGCAGGGCCAGAGGCGGGGACGGAGACAGAGGCGGTGGGGGGAGAGCAAATACTCGCCTCCAATCTCAAGGAGCCGGTGAGGATCGCGGCCAAAGGTGCTGAAACTGCAGGGGTTCATTATCAGGGGCCGCCTGCACCCCCAAACCCCACCCAGGGCCTCAGAATGCGATTGCACATGGGCCTGAGGTTCCTGTGGATGGGTCACTGGGTGGGTCCTGACACCGTGGGGCATGTCCTTGTGGGACAAGGGGACCAGGACACAGCATGAGGGCAGGGAGGACATGGGAGGAGACGGTCACCCGCAGGCCCAGGAGTGCAGCCTCCCAGCTGCAGCCTCCAGAACCGTGAGAAATAAGGGCCGGCAGCTGAGGCCGCCCAGCAGGGGTGTCGCAGTAGCTGAAGCAGGCTGCCAACCACCAACCCAAGGGGAGGGAGAGGTACAGCACACCCTGAAGTGGAGCCCCAAGTTCATACCTCGGCAACTTCATGCTGCTCCCCCAAAGTGGCCCCAAGGGGGGTGACTGCCCAACGTGTCCCTGGCAGGCTGCCTCCATTCAACTCATGCTGCTTGCCGCCCCCCAGAAACTGGTGCCCTGCCCGGCCTTCCCAAGCGCCACCTGTGACGCCCGAGCCCCCTTCTGCCCTGGACTCACTTCGTGAGAGGCGCTTGGGCCGGCTGGCAGGACTGGGGAGCAGGAGTTGGGCTGGGGTGACCGGCCCGTGCCCCTGCCCTAGGGCTGGGGCGTCCACGCCCTTGGGGGATGCTGAGTGGCTTTCCTCTGCTCGTGTAGCTGCCCGCTGCCCAGCCACAGTGAGAGTGGGATGTCTGGGCCGGGAGCGGTCGGGGGAAGGAGACCAAACGCGTGTCAGGTGCACGGAGGACGCGTGGCAGGGACACCCGCAGCCCCCACCCGCCCGCCTCCTACCTAGGATCCACATCTCCGACAGGTGCTGGGCAGTCGCCGTCCTCTGTCCCCGGCAGGGCCCGATGAGGATGCCCGCCTGGCAAGGCGAGGACACCACCCGGCCCCCGCACAGGCGCACCAGCTGCCGCAGCTTGCTCCTGGGGGGGGTGCTGGCTGGGGCGATGAACATGGACGGCTGGTCAGCAAACAGGGTTCCCCGGTACGGCCCCGCGGAGAGAAGGCGCTCCTGGCGGCAGACCTGTGGGCAGAGACAGAGGGAGGTCAGCGGGGCTGCGCGCAGCCGCCTCCTTCCTGGGAAAAGCCAGAGGAGCATGTGTGCGTGCGTGCGTGCGTGCGTGCGTGCGTGACATTCTCGCTCTTGGAGGAACCTGGCATTCTGAGGCCCCAGATCTGATGTTGACTTGACATTTTCCGAAGCAGCCAATGAACAAAACCCAAGAAAACACATTCACAGGCCTAAACAATAAAAAAAAAAAAGGTTTAGTCCTTCGAATTATTACAAATTTACAAATTCTAAGACAAAGTGCTCTGACCCTCTCTGAGCAGCGCCCTGAGTCTCGCCTGGCCCTGTCCCGGGAGCGGGGTCCCGCGATTAGCTTGGGAGGGGCCGGGCCAAGATCTGGAGGCGGGTGCCGGCAGGCTCAGCGCTCGTCCCCAAACCTGGGATCATCCCTCGCCCGTCACGAAAAATAAAACCTTAATCCTTACTTTCTCGTTGAGATTTTGTTCCTGAGACCCAAGCGCGCGGCCCTCACCCGGCCAGGGCAGCCCCGGCCCCCACGAGGTGGCTGAATGGTTTTCTGAGTCCTGCGCAGGCCCGCCCTGCCCCACATACACTCGGGGGCTTAGGATACAGTTTTTCTTAAAATGCAAATGGGATCCGGGCTATTTCTCGGTAGCGGATTGAGCAGAAAAGCCTGTTTTTAATGCAGCGGGAAAGGCCACAGGCAGGCGGCTCCAGCGTCTAGAACGCGCTGCCCTTGGCGGCGACCTTGACGCCCGTCCCCCCAGCAGCGGACGCTGACCACCCCGCATGTGCGTGGTCCTGGGACACAGGCCCCGCCCTGCGTTCAAAGCTCATAAGAGGAAAGTCAACAGAATCCAACGCTCCCTTGACTTTATTTGCTCAGTTTGAAACACAGACGGCGGAGGGCGAGGACGTCGAGGCCCAGGCAGCGTCACAGCGGCCAGGCGCGGGCCCCGCCGCCGCTCGGGCAGTCGTGCCTGGGAAAGCTTAGCCGAGTCTTAGGTTTCTTGAAATTAAAAATTAATATGGGAATGTGTTCTGGAAGTATATTCCCCAGTGCCCATAAAGGCCTGAATGTAAGGAGGTCGTTGCCTTAGAAACAAAACGCTTGGCAACTTCGTCTACGTTATGAATTGTTTTATATAAATCTAACGGGTCTGGGATTCGGCTTATTACTGAGCTTCCGTCCAGCTCACTCCAGGAGGGACTGGATCCCCTCCCTGGGGCGGGCGGCTGGGGCCTCACACCACAGGCAGGAGACCAGAGTCCCCGGCCCCCACCCCCCACCCCGCCGCCCTGAAGCAGGGGCCACAGGATGCAGTTGCGCCTCCGGGCAGAGCCACTGGCCCCACTGGCATGTTTTAAACCTGAGCTGACACTTAGAGGCTGCAGGTGGCATGAAAGGTAAACAGAGGCTCCGGGGACGCCGCAGTGGCCACCTCCACTCTGGCCGGGGAGCTCCAAACGCGCCACCTTCTTGGCAGCTGAGCCGCCGGGAGCCCCTGCTGCCCTGCCCGGCCGGGACCGCAACGCCCTGAGTGTGGTCTTGATTCGGTCTCCGCCTCTCCCCCCACCCCAGTGCTGCTGACCACAGGGAGCACCCGGGCAGGAGGGCAGGCGGGCAGGGGAGAGGCTCCAGTGAGGGCGCATTGTCCGCTCCTTCCCCAGAGAGGGCCTCCGCGTGCCAGGGAATCCACATGGGTGCAGAAGCTTCTAGCTGAAACAGTTAAGAAGTTCATCTTTAAAAATTCACGACTCACGCAGGTGTAAGATGAGCTCTTAAGCGCAGGCAGATGCACAACGGCTCCCAAGACTCCAAAGAACCCCCGTGTACATTACACACAGCCCCGAGCTCGTAGAGGGCTCGCTTCTCCCTGGAGGGGGGGGCCCCTCTAGAAGGACGCATTTCCAGCCAGGGTCAGGCTGCCGCCTTGTCCGAAGTCCTCACAACGTGCAGTCGCGAGAAAGGCAACAGAACTGCAGTCAGGAAACCTGAAGGCATGCTTGTCAGCGCGACAGTCATCCCGCGAAACACGCGTCCCCCGGAGCCTGGACAGCAGTGTAAGAAATCAGGCCGCAAAGGGGGATTGAGTCTCATTTACGGACTGTTCGTGCTTCAGTTGCCTCTACACTAGACGGGAAGCTCCGCTAGTCAGGGTGAATGCTGGGTGCTGTTCAGAAGAGCGCCCTGTTTCTGGGAGTGGTGATATCAAATGATAATCACTCACACACACACGCGCGTGCAAGCACAGGTCCCTGTGCCCAGCCGGGGTGGGGTCTCTGCCGGGGCTCTCAGTGTGGACCCTGCACGTGAGCTGGGGCCATTACCTGGGGCTGAGGTTGGGCTGAGACGGCCTCCCCGGGGTCGCCCCCACATGTGTGCCTTCTGCAGAGACGCGGCGCTGACTCAGTGAGTCTCGCCCAGGACCCGCTGGCCGCTGCTGAGACGGAGTAAGCGGAGCCGACCCCGGGGCTTCCAGCCGCCCCCGGCCACACATGAACCCCCGCGCAGCAAACCACACCCCGCGCTCAGGCGCCCAGAGCTCAGGCACAGCAGCACCGAGACGCGTCCCAGGGCGCGCTGAGAGCACGACAGGGCCAGGGTACTGAGGACTCCGAGAGGAGAGGGAGCAGCCGCGAGCGCCGGTCGGGAAGGCCGCGCAGGCGAGAAGGGCGGCAGGAGGCACGGGAGGCCCAGCGACTGAGACTCCCGGCCGGGACCCTCCACCTGGGGGATGTGTATTCAAGAAGGAAGAGGAAGGGCTCACTGAGGAGAAAAAAGTTACAAGAATTTCTCCAGCCCGATCCACACGAGGGGGCGCGGAGGGGAAATCAGGGAAATGAGGCCCATGCCGGAGTTTGCACGGCAGGACACGCCTGTCGCTAAAGGGGGTTCTCGTTTGACTCACTGCTGACGGGCTGCGAGGGCAGAGGACCAGGCCGTGGCGCCGGCGGCCGGGCCAGAGGCAGCCTCCCTCCACCCAGCGTCCCAGGCCCGAGCCGGAGCCCCGTCCCAGGAGCAGGTCTGGCGGCTCCCCTCGCCGGGGCTTCTGCCAGGGCTCCTGCGGAAGTGTCTCTGCCCGCGGGCCGGGACCCACACGGGCTCACTTCCTCTCCCTCTACCCCCACGGGGGCGGCCTCAGCCCTCCCTCCACGCCGGCGTGGGTCCCACCGCGCCACACACAGGCCGGGAGGCGTCACCCACAGCCGCCGCCACTTTGCTTCTGCACAGGAGCCAGCCCCACGCCCACACGTCTCAAGCCAAGTCCGCTCTGGTCCCCAGGCGGCCCCAGGCGCTTGGCAGCCTTCTGGGGGGCTTATGGGGCTCTGGAGCCGCCTTTATAGTGGAGACAGCCGCTGCTCCCACTGCGCGCAGGTTGCAATCACCTGCCCAGGTGTCTCCCGGGGGAGGACGGCCGCCGGGACGCTCAGTCAGCTCTGCCCGCTCTGTTCTTAATAGGCCCGGGACCCGCCTTCAGAATCCTGGGGCGGCCCCGCAGCCCAGGGGTTGTCCCCACGTGCCCCCTCCCGTCTCGGTCCTGTGGACCTGCCCTGTGGCGTCGTGGAAGATGCCCCGTCTTCAACCCCGCCCGGCCACACATCAGTGCTCCCTTCTCGGCACCACAGAGGAGCTGATAGCCTGGGTGCCGGCAGCCACCCCGGGGTGCTCACCCACACATGTTCCTGCTCTCAATAAAGATGCTAAATGTGCCCCGTGAAGGGCAGAGCAGAAGGTGCACTAACTGGGGGCCTCAGCCGGTGCCTGTGCAGGCAGCACCCCTGGACCCCAGGGAGTGAGAGGACGGGCTGCCAGCATGAGGGCTCTGCGCCCCTACGTCCCTCCCTTCCCGGTTTACCGCAGCACCTAGAAGCTTGGGGCTGAGCCCCGTCTTCCTGCAGACCAGCGTCTGGGCGAGGTCTGATTCCCAGGGGCAGCGCTGGCCGGGCCGGTCAGCACCCCGGGCTCTGAAAACACTGCTGGGGTTTAGAGGCGCAGAGGGACGGGAACACAGCCGCCCTGAGAATCCACAAATAACTTTAAAAAGCCATAAATCTGGCCCATGTCTCCTCGCGGGGCGACGGTGGGTGCGGGTGCGGCTCTGGCTCTGCGGCTGCAGGTTGGCTGCAGCCTCCTCCAGGTGGGCGGCCCTGGGGGCCCTGCCCGGCACCCCAGTCCCCCTGGAGCCTCGAGCTGCGGGACTCACTCGAGAAAGCCAAGGTGAAGCCACACGGTAGAGCCTCCTGGTCACAGAAACAGTCTATTTGAGCCTCTGAAAATTACCTGGTGGGCAGCCGTGCCGGCCGCGGGTGATGGCGGGTGCCGCCCCCCCAACTCGCTGAGAACACCTGGGGCCGCGTGGGCGGGGGTCCTGCACTCTCGGCCCCCCGCACCGGCTCTCAGGCCAGACAGGGCTCCCGCCCTGACATTCTGATGTGGTGACAGGGGGTGTGGCCGGCGTGTCAGGAGTCAGAAAAGCTCCCAGATGATTGTGGTGACAGAGTCACGGAGTCAGACCCAAGACGCTCGGCGGGCAGAGGTGTCACAGGGACAGGCCTGCCAGGCGCTGGGGGCCCAAGCCTGCAAGGAGAGCTGGAGCCGGCCCTTTGCACACGGACTCTCACCTTCCTCTGACGGCTGCTGGGGAAAAAAATGTCTCGCTCTGAAGAGGCCTGTGGATGAGGGGGCTGGTCACGGAAGGAGACCCCCTCGCCGGCACGCCCCAGATGCAAGAGACGCAGCTCTGGCTGGCACTGACCACAGCTCAGCTCTCTCCTCGCGCCACCTGCGGCAGCCACAGCAGGTGGGCCGGGTGGGCGGGGGTCAGGCCCAGGGGAGCGCTCGTGGCCCTGGCCCCTGCTCCCGGGGCCGACCCGCCCAGTGTCTACCTGCTGGCCTTCCTCCCCAAGCCCGGCCCCAGCTCCCGTGGTGTTGGCTGCTGTCCCCGAGGGCGTCCTGGCAGGGCCCAGCTGTACAGGCGGCCTGTGGGCCC